CCAACCGATATCCAAAGTGCGTCTCTATATCAAAACCTAAAGTGCGCCCAAAGTAATTTACTGACTTTCCTTCTCTCAAATACAAGATCCCTTTTACTAAAAGTGGATGAATTGAAAATTATACTTGACCGATATGATGTGAGTATGGCCTTCATAACCGAAACATGGTTAAATAAGAAAATCGACGACGCAGCAGTTTGTATTGGCGGGTATTCAATAGCAAGATGTGGTCGAATTGATAAGCTGGGCGGTGGAGTTTGTGCTTTTATTAAATCAGACATCCCGTTCAAAATTCTAACAGAAGCTAATGACATCAATTTTGAAATTTTATGGATCTATGTAAGACCTCATAAACTTAACCGAGGCTTCTCTTGTTTGATCGTCTGTGTGGCCTATAAACCTCCATCCAGCGACAACGCCGCGTTTATAGATCACCTGAGCACGACACTTGACCTCGCTCTCAATAAGTACCCAAATGCAGGTATATTTTTACTTGGAGATTTTAACAGATGTCCTGTCTCATCTTTATTGAGACATTTTACTTTGAAACAAACCGTAAAACAACCAACAAGGAAAGATGCTGTCGTTGATCTTATTCTTACTAATATGTCAGACACATGTGACTCTCCTAAGGTGATCGCACCCATCGGACTCGGCGACCATAATTCCCTTTCATGTATTTTAAAAAAATGTAAATCATTGAACGGATGCAAGAAAATAAAAATTAGACCCGGTAACAGAGGTGCCAAGGCTGCATTTGGAAGATGGCTAACGAACTATAATTGGACTAACCTGTATCATATATACTACATTGTGTGAACAAAAACTGGAACTTTTTCAGGATGTTATTCATAGATATAAGGAACTTATTAAAAGCAGACAAAAGGCATTTTTTCAGAAAAATGACAAATTGTACCGTCGACTACGCAATCGTGCTAATCGAGAAAGTAAGAACCTTGAATCTGCATTCTTGGAACATAAATTGGAACAATTAAAACGTAATCCTGATCCTAAGAAATGGTGGGACACTGTGAAACAAATAGCTGGCTACCCTAAGAAGAAATCTTTTTCAAGTCTTGTCCTAGGAGAGCAAGTCGTCTCTGGAAAGCAACTTGCTGAAAAAATTAACGAGGCTTTCGTATCCGTTACTCGAGATATTTCTTCCCTTAGTCCTATCCCTTTCCCCGATATCCAATTACAAAGTAATTATACTACTATTCCAACCGAGTACATTATTAGAAGACATTTATTATAAATTATCTTTCATATCATCTTCGAAAGCGGCTGGCTCAGATGAAATACCGAATTGGGTTCTAAAAGATTATGCGCCCCTGCTGGCTCCCCCAGTTACTTCAATCTTCAACGCCTCCCTTCAACGGGCGTCTGTTCCCGGGGTATGGAAAAAAGCCGACGTCATCCCTGTCTCTAAAAATAAGGTGCCGAGTGACATTACTAAAGACTTGCGTCCCATCTCGCTTACTGCTACTTTGTCAAAAACATGTGAACGTTTTGTCGCAGACTGACTGATGGAGTTGATTGGTGAGAAGATCGATAAACGATAATTTGGATCTCTAAAAAACTCCTCAACAACACATGCATTATTGAGCCTTTTCCATCACTTATTAAACGAAACTGATGTGCCGAAAAACGCTGTGAGAATTTTTTTATTGGACTTCTCCAAACCTTTTGATCATATTGATCATAACATCCTCCTCAGTAAATTATCTGATATGGACGTTCCATCATTAATAACAAACTGGATAAGAAGTTTTCTTACTCGACGAAGCCAACGGGTTAGAATGCCCCATTGTGTGTCAGAATGGCAAATCCTCAACGGTGGAATACCCCAGGGAACTGTTTTAGGCCCAATCCTCTTCCTAATCATGATAAATGATCTCCTCGCCGATTGGAAAGACCGATGGAAATACGTTGACGACACCACCACTACTGAAACCATTGGCCCAGATTGTAACGGCAACCTTCAAGAACTGGTTAATTACATCGATAATTGGACTACGAGTAATAATATGAAGCTAATTACATTGGAAAATGCAAAGAACTGGTTATTGATTTTGCAAAAAGAAGCATTGCTTTCCCCCTTTAATAGTCGATGAAGTTAATATTGAACGAGTGAAATCTGCCCGTATCCTTGGCCTCACAGTTCAAGATAACATGAAGTGGAATGAACATATAAACAACATAGTTAAAAAAGCTAGCAAGAGGCTCTATATGCTAAGGCTGCTAAAAAGGTCCAACGCGTGTATTGACACGTTGATTACTGTATATACTACCATTATTAGACCTGTTTTGGAGTACACGTGCCAGTTCTGGCATTACAATATCCAACAATATTTATGTGAAGATATTGAAAAAATACAAAAACGTGCGTTGAGAATCATCCTTCCATCGCAAAAGTATGACGAAGCGCTGATCACGACTAACATCACGTCGCTGAGAGATCGCCGAGAAAAATTATGCGAACATTTCTTTGAGAGGAATATTGACAATGAAAATCTCAAAGATCTTTTACCACAAACAATTTTATCTGGATATGATCGATATGTAAATATATAATTATGTTTGTAGAACTGAACGTTTTAAGAATTCGTTTTTACCTCAAAGTATATTAAAGATTAACAGTAAATAAGTTTTTAGAATTCGAAATGTAAATAATCTTAAATATGTAATTATTATGTAATTTTAACTTCTCTTAATTTATGTAATACTGGTGTAATTTAACCCTTTTGGGTTACAAAGTCAGTAATCAATTCAATTCAAACCTGCAGCAAATATTTAAAGATACAGGTATTTTCATGGGGAGTTTTGTTGATTTATATAGCGAAGAAGTCTGAAGTCTCGAGTGGTTGTAAAATCTCGAATAGCTGTTACTGTATCTTTATTGCCTCCCTTAAATTTGATTTCGTCTATGATATTACATCTTCTGTTTGGCGAAATGGGTTTCCGTTTTGAAAACAACGGCCTTTCTTGTTTATCCGCCACACTTCTATAAATACAACTGTAATAAACATGGCATTTGACCCTGGAAACGGTCAATTTTGAACAGCCCAACGCGCGTTGCGAACGCCGCAATGTCCGATGAATTAATATTAATTTTTCATAATTATATAGTTCAACCAATCACAATTCGTCCCAACTTCTCTCGGGAAATTCACGTGACCATACAAGCTTCATGCCACGGATTCGCAGACTATATATCATATAGTCTGCGTGCAGGCTATATAACATGTGGCCAAGGCAAAATCAATTATCTGGTTTCTTGCACTTCACTTGGTGGGATTAATATTAGAATGCTGGTTTTAGGGTCAATCCAAATGAGTATATATAAACTTTAAGACCTGACCAGGAACGACTGCGAAAAATGCAGCACAAGGTTCTCTGGTAGGAATTGAACCTATGGCCGTGTGATTCCGGTGCAGCGCTCTAAACAACTGAGCTACAGAGGCCAGCTGTTGAGCTGTAACCATAAATTCATGTATATATAGCTGGTCGTGTGTGCGGGTTGCGTTAAGGTCGATTTCAATCATCCCGTCCCCTGCACTTCACTACGTGGAATTAATATTAGAATGCTGTTTTTAGGGTTTGTAATCCAAGTGAGTATATATACACTTTAAGACCTGACCAGGAACGACTGCGAAAAATGCAGCACAAGGCCCTCTGGTACGAATTGAACCTACGGCTCTGCAATTCCAGTGCAGCACTCTAACCAACAGAGCTACAGAGGCCAGCTGTTTAGCTGTAACCGTAAATTCATGTATATATAGGTGATCGGGTGTGCGGGTTGTGATAAGGTGGACTTCAATGATCTAGTTACTTGCACTTCATATCCATGAACGTACGGTTACAGCTCGACAGCTGGCCTCTGTAGCTCAGTTGGTTAGAGCGCTGCACAGGAATCCCAGGGCCGTTGGTTCAATTCCTACCAGAGGACCTCGTGTTACATTTTATGCAGTCATTCCTGATCAAGTGTATATATACTCACTTGGATTACAAAACCTAAAAATAGCATTCTGACAGCCTAGTCCCAGTCGTTCTGAAGCAAGCGCGAGAAAAAAGTGGATGTAGTACGAGACTGGGACCTAGGTGTGACGTCACCGCTCAAGGTGCTTCAGAACGCCTAGCAGATTTCAGTATTTTTAATATGGCGGAAAAGTTATATATGTTAATATTGCAAGTAACCTTTTAATTATAAATACGACAATGTTCGTTCATCATGTACGTGTTCGATGTCTACATAACCAAATCAAACTGTATTAAAAATGTGCTCAACTAAAAAAATTTATATACAAATTTACGATACCAAGTTTGAGCAATCGTTGATGTTATTTATGTACTCGCAAGTTGTGATCAACACTAGACCATACTGGTATACACAACTACGTTTCTACTTGACAGGTTTAAATTGCTGAGGAGATTGGAAATATTTGCCTGACATGACGGTGTTGTCAAAACATTCTTAGTCGGAGACTCGGCATAATTTTCAAGCTTCTAGATAACATTTAATATGGCTATATATTTTAGTAAACACGAGTCATTTTAAGCCCGTTATTCCATTCTGACCGTATGGCAGCGAAACGTAGCCTACTTCATTGTTCCGACAGCATTGAAGCAAAACTAATGACTTAATTATAAATGCAAAGGAATTTCCATAACATTTTCCATTTACAAATGAGGTATGCTTGGTAACCAGGCCAGGGACCAATTTTTTGAAATCAGGGACCATTTTACCGATATCTGCTAGGCTCTGTCGCTGAAGCGTTCCGCACAGCACACCCAGGCATAAAACTTTTAAGACTTATTTAAATATATCAAAGCAGCGAATAGAGAGAGAGAGAACCTGGGACTAGGCTGGCATTCTGATATTAATTCCACCAAGTGAAGTGCAAGAAGCCAGATAATTGAATTCCACCTTATCACAACCTGCACACCCGATCACCTATATATCCATGAACTTACGGTTACAGCTAAACAGCTGACCTCTGTAGTCTGTAGCTCTGTTGGTTAGAGCGCTGTACTGGAATCACAGCTTCGTACGTTCAAATCCTACCAGAGGAGCCTGTACTGCATTTTTCGCAGTCGTTCCTGCTCAGGTCTTAAAGTGTATATATACTCACTTAGATTACAAACTCTAAAAACAGCATTCTAATGCCAAAGCAAACCCTAGTTTAATTTAAACCCTTGTGTCTCATTTCAGAATTGACTACATATACATGTAACAAACTCTGCAATATTGTATTCTAGCTAGTGTCCGATCATACATTTAACAGAATCTATAGGGCAGAACGTTTTCATCCCTGCTGACCAAACCATTTTGAATACCATGGAATACCAACACCATTTTGGTTTTAGATGCGTCCAACACCATTTTGGTTTTGGATGTGTCCAACACCATTTTGGTTTTCGATGTGTCCAACACCATTTTGGTTTTGGATGTGTCCAACAACATTTTGGTTTTGCATGTGTCCAACACCATTTTGGTTTTGGATGTGTACAACACCATTTTGGTTTTAGATGCGTCCAACAACATTTTGGTTTTGGACGTGTACAACACCATTTTGGTTTCGGATGTGTCCAACACCATTTTGGTTTTGGATGTGTCCAACACCATATTGGTTTTGTATGTGTCCAACACCATTTCGGTTTTGGATGTGTCCAACACCATTTTGCTTTTAGATGAGTCCAGCACCATTTTGGTTTTGGATGTGTCGTACACCATTTTGCTTTTGGTTGTGTGCAACACCATATTGGTTTTGGATGCGCCAACACCATTTTGGTTTTGGATGTGTCCAATAACATTTTGGTCTGGATGTGTCCAACACCATTTTGGTTTTGGATGTGTCCAACACCATTTTGGTTTTGGATGCGTCCAACACCATTTTGGTTTTGGATGTGTGCAACACCATTTTGGTTTTGGATGCGTCCAGCACCATTTTGGTTTTGGATTCGTCCAACACCATTTTGGTTTTGGATGTGTCCTACACCATTTTGCTTTTGGTTGTGTGCAACACCATATTGGTTTTGGATGCGCCAACACCATTTTGGTTTTGGATGTGTCCCATACCATTTTGGTTTTGGATGTGTCCAACACCATTTTGGTTTTGTATGTGTCCAACACCATTTTGGTTTTGGATGTGTCCAACACCATTTTGGTTTTGGATGTGTCCAACACCATTTTGGTTTTGGATGTGTCCAACACCATTTTGGTTTTGAATGTGTCCAACACCATTTTGGTTTTGGATATGTCCAACACCATTTTGGTTTTGGATGTGTCCAACACCATTTTGGTTTTGGATGTGTCCAACACCATTTTGGTTTTGGATGTGTCCAACACCATTTTGGTTTTGGATGTGTCCAACACCATTTTGGTTTTGGATGTGTCCAACACCATTTTGGTTTTGGATGTGTCCAACACCATTTTGGTTTTGGATGTGTCCAACACCATTTTGGTTTTGGATGTGTCCAACACCATTTTGGTTTTGGATGTGTCCAACACCATTTTGGTTTTGGATGTGTCCAACACCATTTTGGTTTTGGATGTGTCCAACACCATTTTGGTTTTGGATGTGTCCAACACCATTTTGGTTTTGGATGTGTCCAACACCATTTTGGTTTTGGATGTGTCCAACACCATTTTGGTTTTGGATGCGTCCAACAACATTTTGGTTTTGGATGTGTCCAACACCATATTGGTTTTGGATGTGTCCAACACCATTTTGGTTTTGGATGTGTCCAACACCATTTTGGTTTTAATGTGTCCAACACCATTTTGGTTTTGGATGTTTGCTACACCATTTTGGTTTTGGATGCGTCCAACACCATTTTGGTTTTGGATATGTCCAACACCATTTTGGTTTAGGATGTGTCCAACACCATTTTGGTTTTGGATGTGTCCAACACCATTTTGGTTTTGGATGCGTCCAACAACATTTTGGTTTTGGATGTGTCCAACACCATATTGGTTTTGGATGTGTCCAACACCATTTTGGTTTTGGATGTGTCCAACACCATTTTGGTTTTGGATGTGTGCAACACCATTTTGGTTTTGGATGCGTCCAGCACCATTTTGGTTTTGGATTCGTCCAACACCATTTTGGTTTTGGATGTGTCCTACACCATTTTGCTTTTGGTTGTGTGCAACACCATATTGGTTTTGGATGCGCCAACACCATTTTGGTTTTGGATGTGTCCCATACCATTTTGGTTTTGGATGTGTCCAACACCATTTTGGTTTTGTATGTGTCCAACACCATTTTGGTTTTGGATGTGTCCAACACCATTTTGGTTTTGGATGTGTCCAACACCATTTTGGTTTTGGATGTGTCCAACACCATTTTGGTTTTGAATGTGTCCAACACCATTTTGGTTTTGGATATGTCCAACACCATTTTGGTTTTGGATGTGTCCAACACCATTTTGGTTTTGGATGTGTCCAACACCATTTTGGTTTTGGATGTGTCCAACACCATTTTGGTTTTGGATGTGTCCAACACCATTTTGGTTTTGGATGTGTCCAACACCATTTTGGTTTTGGATGTGTCCAACACCATTTTGGTTTTGGATGTGTCCAACACCATTTTGGTTTTGGATGTGTCCAACACCATTTTGGTTTTGGATGTGTCCAACACCATTTTGGTTTTGGATGTGTCCAACACCATTTTGGTTTTGGATGTGTCCAACACCATTTTGGTTTTGGATGTGTCCAACACCATTTTGGTTTTGGATGTGTCCAACACCATTTTGGTTTTGGATGTGTCCAACACCATTTTGGTTTTGGATGTGTCCAACACCATTTTGGTTTTGGATGTGTCCAACACCATTTTGGTTTTGGATGTGTCCAACACCATTTTGGTTTTGGATGTGTCCAACACCATTTTGGTTTTGGATGTGTCCAACACCATTTTGGTTTTAGATGCGTCCAACACCATTTTGGTTTTGGATGATTTTGGTTTTGGATGCGTCCAAAACCATATTGGTTTTGTATGTGTACACCATTTTGGTTTTGGATGACACCATTTTGGTTTTGGATGCGTCCAACACCATTTTGGTTTTGGATGTGTCCAACACCATTTTGGTTTTGGATGTGTCCAACACCATTTTTGTTTTGGATGTGTTCAACACCATTTTGGTTTTAGATGCGTCCAATACCATTTTGGTTTTGGATGTGTACAACACCATTTTGGTTTTGGATGTGTCCAACACCATTTTGGTTTTGGATGGGTCCAACACCATTTTGGTTTTAGATGCGTCCAACACCATTTTGGTTTTGGATGCGTCCAACACCATTTTGGTTTTGGATGTGTCCAACACCATTTTGGTTTTGGATGTGTCCAACACCATTTTGGTTTTGGATGTGTGCTACACCATTTTGATTTTGGATGCGTCCAACACCATTTTGGTTTTGGATGTGTCCAACACCATTTTGGTTTTGGATGTGTCCAACACCATTTTTGTTTTGGATGTGTTCAACACCATTTTGGCTTTAGATGCGTCCGATACAATTTTGGTTTTGGATGTGTACAACACCATTTTGGTTTTGGATGTGTCCGACACCATTTTTGGTTTTGGATGCGTCCAACACCATTTTGGTTTTGGATGTGTCCAACACCATTTTGGTTTTGGATACGTCCAACACCATTTTTGTGTTGGATGCACCAACGCCATTTTTGATTGGATGCCACTAACACCACCGTGGGTCTGTTGGATGCATGCATGCCGCACCATTCCATAGATTTCTACGTACTCTGAACTTACTTAATTAACAACCTAATATCTCTGCGTCTATGAAATTTGACGACAAGTAAGTATTACCTCGGTCATATTAAGTTGATGATTATGGAACAAAACTCCTATTTTCTCTTAGTAATGTATCTTCCCACAAAAGTTTGGATAATATTTTATTGCTATTTGATTTTTATCACAGAAACTTACGAATGTCGACACTGGCATGAACTTTAGAATGTTATTCCTCAAATATATCCAGAGTGTTATGAAAGTTTGCTAATTACACAAGAAATGCGCGAATTGTGCATGCCATAACAATTAATTTTCCTGACATTATTATTGAAAATTATAATCATTGTCATAAAAATTAAGTTTATACTTCTTCCATACTGCAATGCAGTTGAAATGGACTTCTCGTCTAAATGGTTGGTTTAAAATTTATCCAACCTTTAACCAAAAGGTTCAACATTTATTGAAAATTCTTCTTCAAATTGTAAGATTTGTCCAGTGCTCTCACTTTTAAGGAATTATCCTTAAAAATAGGAATTTTGAAGAGTTTTAAGGATTTTTTTAAGGAATTTAGGTTTTTGAGGATTTTTTTAAGGAATTTGCGAAACATTTTATCCTGGACTAAAAACGTTGGACGGAGGATAACCACGCCACGCAAATGAGATTTAAACTTGAAAGTAGCAACATTATACGCACATAATTACATTTAGTATAATTACATAGGTGATTATTGAAAATTCTCCACGCTGATTGGTTGCCGTTGAGGCGATTATTACGCGATAATCACCTAAGCGATTTTCAAAATGGCGGCCGAAGCCTTTTTGTCAATTAAATGGCAAAGAAATGCGTATTTTCTTTTTTTTTTCCAAATAATCACCTATGAAATTATACTAAAACAATTATTCACCTCAGGCTCGTTGATTATCGTGAATAAAAACCTCGACCTTCGTCTCGGTTTTTATTCGCCGATAAATCGATAATCACCTCGTCTTCGGCGAATAATTGTTAAATATTCGTATGTTCTCTATGTCATAAATGTTCTTATGTTCCAGTACCAATTTGGTTCCAATACCAAACAACACAAATCACACTCATATAACGTAATTGTCATCATAATATAGTAGTATTTGTTTCTGTACATGGCTTGGCATGTGATTTATAACAAAAGTTAAAACAGTGTTTTGAAACCCTAGATTTTACAAAATGTGTTCTCAAAACGCTGCAAATGCCATTTCCGGGATTCAAATTTTTCAATTTTTCCGTGCCTTCAGCACGAGCACCCCCCCCCCCAAGTATCGTAAAGTGTCCGCCACTGGTCTTTTCATTAAAATCACAAAAGTTAAATGTCAGTATATGCTGTTTCTTCTGAAATCTACAGATTTTTTAAGCTCTTCATGCAGCAACGATAAAAAATACATCATGTTGAATGTTTTCTTTATGGCATTACGCTAACAATCAAATGTTTTCACTTTTTAGTGCTTAGAAACAAGGTTATAAAAACTGAAAAAAGGAGGAAAAAACACTTTTTGCAACTGTGTGATCAAGCCTTCTGGTAATTTTACCAATTTAAGGAATTTTAAGGAAATCTGAGGAATTTTCTAGCTTTTTCTAAGGAATTCGAAAATTTGATTGTGAGAGCACTGGATTTGTCTAAATTTGAGCTAAATGGAATATGCAACCCTATCGTAGAACGTGTTTAAATACGACGTAAAGAAAGAAATCGGAGAGCAAGTACTAACATCATTCGAGTTGAGTGTATCTAAAAGTCGAGGGTCGAGAGTATGTAGGTCGAGAATCGAGAGTAAAAGTCGTGAGTCAACAGCAAAAATTCGAGGAGCGACAGGAAAAAGTCAAGAGTCAACTGCTATGGCTGTGATAAATGCAACGTAATTATAAATACAACGTAATTATAAAACATATTGATAAAAGAGTAATTGGAAGAAACGATCGAACAGGCCATTTAATGTACAGCATCACAGCTGTAGTTTTAATAACACACTTATCACCCGATTGACTCACATGCACATACGACAAAAGAATCGTCTTTTTACTGGACTCGTATATATAAGTTCACAATTGTATGAATCGTTAGATTGTGCTGAACGTAGAATACTTCATACGCTCTCGTTTAATATAAACGTACGTTAATTAAAGAACTTTTTAGTTACAAGCCCAGAGCTGGCTGTCAAAATTCAGCAGAGGGACCGTTTATGTGTCAGTTAGATTAAAACGCAGCAAAATTTGATGAAATGACATGTTAAAAAATTAAATTTAGCAAGACGGAGGCATTACATGTTATATTAGTTTCTTATCCAGTCTTTTTTGTTCACGTTATTATTATTGACTGTTGTAGCTATATTTATGCAAAGTTTGTAGTTCAACCGTTGTTATACGGAACGGCTATATATTGTGTTAAAAATATTTTGACTTTGTTGTTTCTGATGACATTTGTTGACTCTCGACTTTTTGCCGTCGACTCTCGACTTTTTGCCGTCGACTCTCGACTTTTACTCTCGACTTTTACTCTCGATTCTCGACTTTTACTCTTGATTCTCGACCTATACTCTCGACTTTTAGATACACTCATTCGATTTATACACGTTCTTGTTAGAAGTCTCAAATCTGGTTAATAAGCGACCAATTGGCCGTATTCCAAACGACCCGGATGATGGATCGTATTTGTGTCCGAACGATATGTTGCTTGGTCGTTCCTCCGTCTAAGCCTCTAAGGTACCGCAGGGTCCATTCAAAACTATCAAGAACCCAAGTGATCGTGTAGAATTTGTGCAGCGAATCGTAGATTCGGTTTTGGTCAGATAGACAACCGATTTTTTCCCGTTACTAATTCCAAGAAAGAAATGGAACGAAGATCGTATAGAATATCCAAGTGAACGACGTAGTGATGACGGTGGATACGAATGCTGTAAGAGGAAAATGGACTATCGGACGAATAACAAAAGTACATCCTGGATCTGATAGCAAATTCCGATCTGATGACGTGACATTGAAGACTCATATGATACCGAAGGCCAGTTGCAAAGACAGCAGTAATCTACCCTAACGAAGGATATGGCGATGACGATGCCGCCATCGGCGGGGAAGAATGTTGCGAACAGTGACGTAATATATTTTATCTTATTGCTAAGACACGGGAGATAGAACATGTGTTAAAAAGGTTAGATACTTGAAACTATATCGGACACGCTTGGAGTTATTTCTTGTTGAAGAGGATTGTTTAGAGACTCGCCAAGAAGTATGTTGCTAGGAAAGAACATGTATTTGCTTTTATATATTTTACTTACATTAATTTTAAATTTTTGTACTTGTAGATCGAATAAAATTATTAACATATTTACGTTGTTAATTGACTATACGATTCGCGGGTCTTTATCGGTACGAGTGAACATCAGATACAACTCAAAACCACTCAGATATAACTCAAAGATGGTTGGGCAGAATAGGCCAGTCGGGCAATATTCGCTTCATAGTCGGGCAATATTGGCAATGGGAAAAAGTGGGACAAATTTCTTTCCTTCCCGTATGCCTGCGTATCACTGCATCGATTTTCAAATTTGTGTCTAACGCAATGAAGCGCGAGAAAGGAAAGGCATTTTGATTATCAGGGTGATTACTAATTTATAATTCTGAAACTTACTGGAAAAAAATCATTCAAGAAGAAGCAATAGAAGAAGAAAACCATTCAGCAGTCGCATTAAGTTGGGGTTGGACGAAGACGAGGAATGAATATCACGGTACAAAGGACGGATAATGGGGGAGCATCCAATCTATACCTTCCAAAATATCATCACTTTTCGAGTCTTTTATTTTCGCATCAGGGGCGTAACTCCTGGGGGTTGGGGGAGGGGGGAAGTTTAAAAATTAAATTAACGAAAGTATTACTGAAAATAGATACGCTGAGCGTACATGCGCCCGCTATCAGTTTAGTTCAGCAGATCTAGCGTGAGTATAGGCTCAAGATAGGCTATGGGTTCAAATAGATTCTTTTCTTGCTCTTTTTGAATGCTGATCCTAACCAGTGAGCTGTCTATAATATCCAGAGAAAGAGAAAATGTGAAAAGTGAAACCAAGATCTCGGCCATTGACAACCAATAGCTCTGAAGGTCGTAAACAGTTTTTATACCATTTTTCCCAGAATAGCTGACGACCAGGTTAATAGGAAGTGTCCTAAGGAGAGGCATTCATCCCGCTGGAACATTAAATTTCAAGGGGGTGACGACCTCTTGTTAGGGCACTTGTTAAGAACATGGCAGACAGAAAAATTAACCTGAAGTGAGATCGGTTCTCTGTAAGGGTTTAATGACAGCAACGACGAATATGGTTGATATTTTGGGTTTGAAGTAATTTAACTTGAACGAAAACCGTCAAAATAACTTGTTATAATATACTAATATTTTGTTAAATATCATTTCGGAAAAACCAAGCCAAGATAATCGCGATATTTCCTTCGAACATCGGCATCGCTTACACGGCAACAAAAGCGATGCAGAGAAAGGAAAATGTTCTTCGCGCAATCAAATTGGCCTAGTAGAAGGGTAGTCTTTTATAAATGTCAGATCATTCACACGCTCGTACGAGACATGTATAAAAAAATCTTAATATGGCAACACGGGGTGATTTTTTGAATATTCTAATTTTTATCAAAAAGTACCACATTGCACAAGAATATGAACACTTATATATTTATAATTAACAAACTACTATTCAAGACCCCTTCAGTCTTTTCAGAGAAATGTCCAAACTACTAAGCAAACTTTTCGTTAATTGCCAAACAACTTGTGCAAGATTTATAAAGTTCTTATTGGAAAAATAACGAATGTTATTCAATTTTTAGAGTATTTGAGATGATTATTTATAAATTTCATACAAATTGATACAGTGATTGTATTAAAACCAGATTGAGCCCCACCTCCACGTCCGAATGATAAATTCTCGGCACCTAGCCCCTAACACTAACACAGCCTCGGCGGCTCGTGAGCCACTTTTTTGTTCTTCCCAGATTATGACGTCATACTCTGTATCTATAACTGAACAGACAATGGCAAGATCTTATCTATTTGTTAAATTGTCAATAAACGTTGTCACCTCCGTTTTAAGCTTATTATTTTGGCAACACACATTAGTTATTAAAAATGTTTCTTTTGTTATATATACTTGACCTTAGAAGTCCTTACGTCACGTCACTCTCAAACAATGAATATTTAATCCATACACTATGAAGTCCGAATTGCATTGCGCATACCTAATGCACGGGCTTTAGGACCAATTATTCAATTTGACAGCAATAGTATTCTATTTAAATAGCAGTTAAAATAAAGTGTACGGCACCTGAACTGTTCAATATCTTGCTTGATAGTGCTTCTAAATCCATGAAACATTTACATATTATGCAAATACTGTATATTTTCAAAATCCGCCATCTTTATTTACATTAGAACCCAAGCTTTCGCGGTTCACACGAAATATTATGTCGGTGATTTTCACTAATTATAAGAGGGAAGGATCAAAGTGGACGTTGTCACTCGCTAACCCAATCAGCTGTCTGGGTTCTGTACCACGTGACCTGATCAAATCGTTTCGAGCGTGAGGAATCTTATGACATCATAGCGGCTTCAATAAAATATTTTGGTGATACATTTGTACGTGCCATATAAGGAAGTTGGAGACACGTTTGAGTCAAATATGGAAGCATGGTTTCCTCTAACTTCGAACGGTCTAGGACCATGATGTACCGTACCTATAAAAGTGTTAAAGCTTCTTCAAAATTTCATATCAAAACCCCGAGATTGTTTAAGACCTCGTTTTCAACTCCCCCAATAAAAAAGAGCTTCCTACGGCACTGTGTATAAACTTTTGGTTGGGACAATAGATTGTTGGAAATCGTAAAACCCAATGAACGGTAAGTTTGCATGTTTTAAGTATTGATGTATTTTTTGCTTTATAATTGCTGTAAAAAGTGATCGTTGCGCGTATAATGATAATTGAGAAAAGACAGCATATAATTTCAGCGTATTTTTCTTCATTATCCTTTTTTATTATATTCAAACTTTAAATAAAGAGGAAAGCAAAGTTATTTTCATGCGACGATGCGTGAATTTGAAATCATTTTATTTCAAACTCAAAGTTTATCGATATAAAAAGGTAGTTTTATTTTAAGAACATTCAGTTAAAACGTTTTGCGAAACGTTTGTGGTTGAATTTCACATTATATTGAAGTTTATATTACGCATAATAATGTATTATAACATACCTAACATATATAGTTTTGAAAATTGACAATTTTGTGATTAAAAGTCTACCTCCGCAGGCCTTTCAAAAACATCATATTTCAACCTGTGAACAGGCATACTCATTACAGGCTGTATGGCCTGCGGACGAGGTAGATTAATAGTGATATTTTTAGGGGATTTTTCAATTTTAAAAACATTCTGAATAAAATTATCGTGTTACCATGACAACTACTTCAAATACTTCATGTTCGGAAAATATAATGGTTTTTCCAGCAAGGCGACGGGTTTCTGCATCTATGTACATATATCTATATAGTATGTAAAATAATTCTATGCAATCAACTGAACGCATAAGAGCATGTGCGTTATATCGGCTGATGGATTACCTCTTTTAGTACATCCATGCAACATTATAGTGTTTGTTTAGCATTAAGTTTTATTTTAGAATTAACTCGATCGATAAACCATCACGATTGATTCGGGTTAGAATTGGTCTTATATAGAATTAGGACATGGTTAGTTTTAGAATACGGTGTGCGAATATTATGTAGGGATAATTAAAGATTGTTCACACTCTACGTCATCACCGTCATATGTTGAATGAGTTTGACAAAGTAAAGGATTTTCCGAATTTCTTCCAATACCTCTCTGTTCTTTTAAATCCTTGAGATTGCATGCATGATTGCAATCCATTGCTTGACTCATGTTTTTCTAGTTGTAACTATTGAAATAACATTTCTAGCTCTACACTGCACTTGTATCCAGTGGGTCAGGTCAAGCTCAGCTTTTGGTATTGACCACAGCAATTGAACCATCACAACAACTGCATGCCTGCAGCCATCCACCACCATATCTGCAGCCTGTAATTCGAATTCTGGCCAAGGCCGTGGAGACAACCGATCAAGCAAGAAGCAACAATTGGAATGGCCATCTGGGGGAAGAACTTGTAAATGTCTGAAATGTGCAGTCTTTTATAGAATGTGTAACAGAAGTTCTGGAAAATTAGCCGTAGCCGTTCCTTAATTATAGACATCTTGTAGAGATACAGCATATCTAAAAATCTATAATCATTCGTATAGACACTTGTAGTGAGCATGTCTCAAATCTTGTTAAAATGATATCATAAATGGTGCACTACAGTTTGGAGAAATTAACTGTAGCCATTAATTAATTAAAGGCATTAATTAGAGATGTTATTTCCAGGGAAATAAACTGTAACCATTCCATAATTAAAACCATTTTGTAGAAATACGGTACATAAAAATGAATAATCATATAGCTTAGTGGTTTTGACATACACTTATACTGGTCTCAAATTAAAAGTCAAAATTTTGTCATAATAATATGATGCGCAATTTTGGAGAAATTAACTGTAACCATTACAATTAATGAAAGACATTAATTAGAGAACTTAATTCTGTAGAAATTAACTGTAACCATTCTTATATTAAAGATCTTTTGTGGAAATACTGCAGTATCAGTATGAAAATGACTGTATAATCATAGCTCAATGGTTGGTAGACACTTGTACTGAGCATGTCTCAAAAGTCAAAATGATGTTATAATATCATGGCGTCAGATTTCCCCCAATATTCATGTTGATATTAATTCAACATGTTTCCGTATTGAAGTGAATTTCGACATTGAACATATCAAACTCAGCATGCCACTTTAATTCAACATTGCTTCAATTTTAACATGTAAAATTGTTTCCCTCATTGATGTTAATTTGAATATTGAACATGTCAAATTTAAGTGAAATACAACATTGAAGTATAGATATTGAAGTAATTTTCAATGTTGAAGTTTCAAAACATGTTGACGCATCACTACATGAATTTGAGAAGTGAATATTGGCGGTTATATAGCACGGCGTTAAATATCCGCCAATATTAATTAACACTTCGTTAAATCCCCCCCTGGCATATTACCATATGGCGGCTACGAACGAGCGGAATCAGTGATGAAAATCGTTGGTGCACTGAACATTATTGAGGATATAATATCGCGATTAGACAGCTAGCCTCGCTGACCCAGATTGTGTAGAGGGATTGGCAATACGATTTGACGTTTTAAAGAGATATCTTGTAAATATTAGAATCGACGACATCTGGAATTGCTGGATAGGGTTTGCAAAAATTTAAACCAATTAGAGCAGCGGCAGCGCTATTCCGCCTCTGCATTTCCAGCACAGGTTTATGCCGTGGAAAACTTTCGTAGGTCCTTCGTATAATTATGATATACACGATGGGCAATTGAATTTTTTATAGCGAAGTAAGCAGTATCATGGGTGTACGCAAAGTAACTTTGGAGCGGCCAATGAGGTCATTTGGCACAAGTGTGCTGTGTGTCATGTACTAGAAAGTTATGGCTTATGCACATCCTATACACGGCTAACACAGTGGTTATGCAGCACTGTATATATTAAATTAAATTAAGCCCAAGTCGACAAACCTAGGGAAACTGATGTAAATGTAATGCATACATGTAGATCAATTTTTGTTGAAACCACAACTTCCTTGTGTGGGGATTGGTGTTAGTGAAAAAATCTAGACACTGACCTCTGAATTGGCGAAGACTGATCAGGTCGTTTACCAACCTTAAACGAAAACAGGACTGCAAATTTCAGTTTTCAATAAAATTCAAGTTTTCATGAATTAATCCAAAATGCCAAGTTCCTGGAGTGGACGCATGACTGCCACCATTAACCGCCCTGATGCCACTGACATCATGGGCCATGATGTCAGTGGCAGCAGGGCGGTTTTTTCGTGGGCTTTTCATGTCTGCTCAGCATATTGCATTACTAAGCTAACCTTTTTCTTCAAACGGTAAAAAATGAAGTGCAGATGAAAGATGTAAATATACGTAGATATTCTCGTTCTCATTCTATGCTGTAGTTCTGTATAAAACTTAATGTGCATGCAGTCAATCATACTAAATCCTGATGATAAGACGCTATATATACAGTACGTGTTGCATATATGATCACTGTGTCAGCCGTGTAGGATGTGCATAACTTTCTTACATGACACACTTGTGCCAAATGACCTTATTCGCCGCTCCAAAGTTACTTCGCGTACACCTATAAAAAATTCAATTTCCCATCGTGTATATCATACGAAGGACCTACGAAGGTTTTCCACGGCATAAACCTGTGCTGGAAATGCAGAGTTATTCATGGCGGAATAGCCCTGCCATTGCTCAAATTGGTTTAAATTTTTGCAAACCCTATCCAGCAATTCCCGGCAAAGTGCTTGCCGATGTCGTCGATTCTAATATTTACAAGATATATCTTTAAAACGTCAAATCGTATTGCCAATCCCTCTACACAATCTGGGTCACCAAGGCTAGCTGTCTAATCGCGATATTATATCCTCAATAATGTTCAGTGCACCAACTATTTCATGATTTTCAATTTTTCATCACTGATTCCGCTCGTTCGTAGCCGGCGCCATAGAGGAATAACCGCCAATATTCACTTCTCAAATTCATGTGGTGATGCGTTTTCAACATGTTTTGAAACTTCAACATTGAAAATTACTTCAATATCTATACTTCAATGTTGTATTTCACTTAAATTTGACATGTTCAATATTCAAATTAACATCAATGAGGGAAACGTGTTGAAATTGAAGCAATGTTGAATTAAAGTGGCATGCTGAATTTGATATGTTCAATGTCGAAATTCACTTCAATACGGAAACATGTTGAATTAATTAATATCAACATGAATATTGGCGGAAATCTGACGCCATATATAATATGACACGCAGTAGTTTACCTTACTGGAGAAACTTACACTGACGGTCCCGATCGCGACACATTTTGCCGCCGTCAGGCGAAAGCATGTGTCTGGAGCGTCAAAAACTTGAGAGGTTTCTTTCTTATTCTATGCACTTGTTTGCATGCTACAAAAATTGTTGACAGGAAACTCAGCTTATAAATATAAGGTTAAAACTTGTTTACAATACTTGATTAACTTTATATACATGCTCAAAATTAATATAACTGCCTCTTCAAACTGTCTCTTCTACTGTATTATTCTAATTATACATGTTAATATGAAGAATTTGCAGGCTCAATGCTTGGGCGATGATTGATCTTTAATTTGCATATTAATATAAAGCGGAGATGATGAATTAATCACCTGTCAGTACTACATATTTAAAGCTTTGCATGAGCGTGCATTCAAAGATGTTACTTTTCAAGGCCACCCTTTCTCTGTCTGTTGTAACATTAGCTGTTGGATTCTTTGAGTGGAAAAATTGTGGTAAGTATATGCCTGCAAACAATAAGTTTTACTTTGTTTCGTTTACATAGCAATTGGAATAGGCAGTATAGAGGAAAAAATTAGCGAGGCTCGGCAGCGAGGCATAGCGGTAGAGTTTGTACTTTCATGGTTGCCCGCCGAACAATTTGTTGTTTGCGTTCGATTTTTCACCTTGCATTGACCAACTTTTAACCCAGTTACAAAATGACAGAAATGCCTTTGGTATTGGCTCTTGCCAACACAGGGATATAGCTTTCATTGATATTTCCCTTTTGCATGTAGTACTGCATGAATAACAAGTACTTTGTATAAAATTATGTGGCTATAATTTGCTATTAAAGTGATATCTCAAGCACCTTCCTCGAACTCCCATGGGACAAAACGCCTTGAAAGTCTGACAAACCTTCCGAATATAGTCTCTTTGCGGCAAACTAGAAATAGTTGAGAACGGCAATAAGTAACTAGAAAGCATACACATGCATGCGAGCTGTGCGATATATAATAAAGCACATGCAGCATTCGTCTTGCAATCCAAATTTGTTATGCAAAATGTTTTAGGCATGCACAGCTGCAAATTAAGGGCCTATTTTAAGTAAAGGCGGGTGAGGGCGGTTGCCTGCCTTGATATTCTAATTCATACTATAGCACAACGAAAGTTTTCACTGAAGCTAATCTCATACAAACACTATATTTGTGATAAATGTTTCGTGCGGGCTGCTGCTATATTGACATTAGAGAGTTTTGCAACCTAGAACGGCAACGACAACGGCATGCGCAACGGGGAAAATATAATTGCTTATATTGTTGTATTTGAGCCAAAATATACGTTACTGCACTTAATTTGCCTCTTTTTAAAAGTTTTCCTGTTTCTTTCAAACGTACCCTTAAGTAAAAATAGTCCTCGATCTCAAATAAAACACCTCAAATAATATCGAACGAACTAACTGTTGCCGTAGTCATGCACCGTGAAAATGTGCAAATCACGTACTAGTTTCAACAACTACGGCATTGCACAACGCTTAAGACCATGTAATTTACATTCGCCTTTGTCTTTGAGGATTAATGCTATTGTTGATGACCATATTGCCGTTGCCATTGCCCTTGTATTTGCCAAACTCTCTATTTCAACAGCTGAAACGCAGGTTATAATCCATTATTCATACATTGTTTATTATAAGTAATAGCATGGCGTTTCGGGAGATTAGTGATTAAATTGCCCCGTAACTCGAGGCAGGTTTGCGGAATCCCCGAATCGCCCGCTACAGCGGGCCTGTTGAAACAAAAGAAACCCGGGCAACTATGCTAATAGAGAGGTTAAGATACCCGGTTTCGGTGTACGGGTAAGGGAAGCATGATTTTGGTTAGCCATATTTTCGTCGTTGTCTGTAGCTTTACTCGTAATTAAGGTGCGCATTTTTCGCATTATATCATTGTCTATTGCAAGAAAACAGAAAAAGTATGATCGAATTACAGACATCAGTAAAACAAGATGACACTACTCGTACCCGTACACCGAAACCGGGGTATCTTAACCTCTCTATTATCTAAATTAAAGTCTGCATGCATTGTTTACTGAATTCATAGCAGCTATGACTAGAGCAACAAGCTTGCACAACTCTATTGTGTTTAAAAAGAATATTCTGTTCTTAAAGCTTTCCTCGCAGAACTTTGACTTCTTGGATGATCACTGCAGGGGAGGAGGAAAAGGAACGTTAGCCGTATCTGTGAGAGACATTTTTGTCACGATTCTCCAGTTTTTGATGTCCATGTCTTCTGCTCCAATTTTGGAGGACAAATATAGCAGAAATTATAGTAAATCTTCGAAATGAATTGTTCGGACGAAATTTCAAACAAAACCATCTCCAAATGTACTTAACAAAACTGATGGCGTGGTTGTGCTTACATACGATCAGCCTTTGGGGCTTCAGTTTATATGATCTGATAGTCGCATTGGGCCAGTCGCATTCATTTAGTATATCATATTTTACAAGTATAGCAGTTCAAAATGTAAACAAAGCGTTTGTTAATTACGGATTTTACAACATCTTTAAATTAAGCAAAATTCCACTGACAGTTTCCCGTAATATAATTAATGATTTTTTGCAGACCTGCAATAGAGTCTTAAATTTGTCATGAACTGTGACTGCAGTAACAAACAAGTGCCGCAAACGCCTATATTAGAACATACCTTTTCCTTTTATCATTTTTACCATTTTATCAACTGAATTGAAAGAAAAGCTGAAATTTGTTGTCGCATATCGTGGAATGATACAAGAAGAATTTCTGTCGCTTGCTTTAAAAAATGAACACTGAAAGATAATTATTAATGTCATTCTCGGGAGAAATCTAATACTAATTGTGACGCGCATTTATTTGAAGGTTTCGATTTATTTAGTAGATAGGGTTAATCATCTCTCCATGCAACGGAACTCAAACGTGCCCGACGTGTGATTGCATGGTGAGGGAGGGAAATTCGTGTACTCGAAGAAAAGCCTTCGAAGCACAGGAGAGAACCAACCGCAACTGTACAAGCGGTAATTGCAAGAGTTTCCAAGCGCATCAACTATATCAAAGCTGGTTAGTCACCCCGACCATTAAGTAAAAATACGACCATATACCATGAGGGGCCTTCAGTATATAGCGCTAAGGGACAGCGCGTTATCTTCCACAAATGCTTCCCACCGTAGCTGAAGGATGAGAAATAGGCGGTGTAATAATATTGATTGGGGAGGATACGGGAGGTCCGAGGGCATATACCCTCTGTGTTTGAGGAAGATTTGATTTGCAGAAATTGAGGAAGATTTGATTTGCAGAAATCTGTCAGTTCAGGCCACAATTTGGAATCATGCACATATTTAATATTGGTGATAAACTTTTGGTTATCTTTGAAAGGGCTTAGCTACCGACTTTCCCCCAACAAAACCTCCTTGTTATACCCCTTTCCGCCACGAACATGCAGATATTTAAAACTTCTAATAAAAACACATTTCTAAAAAGCTCTTCCTACAATGTCTATCATGCAAATTTTATCCGTTTATCAGTGAAACCAATCAACGAATCTGTTCCAAAAACAGTCAAAGTGCATGGCTGTGAAGACCAGAAAGAAGTTTCCTTATCCTGCGCTCCTGGTAGAAAGATTGCAGTCACGAAAGCTTTCTTTGGCCACGGAAATGGCTACAAAGCTACCTGTGACAGTGATTGGATATCCCAAAACTGCCGAACAATTGGAGTGAAAGACAAGGTGAAATTTTTGTGCCAGGGAAAACAGTCGTGTAAAATCAATCCAAGAGAAGATGTCCTTGGAGATACGTCCTGCTTGTTTGGACTTGATGCAGATCTGTTTATTGATTATGTCTGCAATCCAGGTAATCGTTAATTATTTTTTTCAACTTCTGGCAATTGATTGATTTTCCGGACCAAGTAATTAACTAAACTCGGACAATACACGAGCTGAAAAACAATGTACAGCTTAACCAATATTTGCTTTACTGCTTTCCTATTTTATGAACCATTTTTAGCATTTATATTAATTTTTGATAATGCTCTTTCAATATACCTGATTGAACAATTGATATGACCATGCCTGGATTATGTAACAAATCCTTACGTCTTAATTGGGCTGATCTATGACGATGTAACTGCACGAAATATTTACCTTAATCAAGATACTATAATATTCTAATGAAGCTCAATTTGCAACATAGTATATATTATGATACTTATAAGTTTCGTAAACAAATTATTGGGTTTTTTTGTATTGGTGTAATGTACACAGGTGAAATGATGCTTGTGATGTTACTCCGAGTGAATATCCACACCGGGCAAGGTTGAAAAATATGCCTGGCTACGGCGGGAATCGAACCTACGACCTTTGGAATACTAGCCCAATGTTCTGCCAACTGAGCTATGCGGTTAGGTCGGTTCGAGTATGTGATGTAGCAATTATAAATTATTGTTGTTCCAAATTTAGCGAAGTTCCAAAATCAAATGTATCTTAATTGATTCCCATTTGCTTTCGTTTGGAACTTACATATGTACAAGAACCTTCCTATCCATATTAGAAAATTTGCGCATTCTGACTGAACGATATTTGATTGATCATCCATTGGTAGGAGGGCAAGCTGTCGTGCTTTACTGGTATCTCTACAGGGCCGCAGGGCTGTGCGCACTAGTGTCGTCAGGTTTAGATTAATGTTACCGGTTAGATTAGGGTCAGATTGAGGTTAAATTTGGGTTTTGGTTCAATTTCATTGAGTATAAAGTGACACGGGTGGTGAAAAAGAGAACTTTGCCATTCTTGCTCGTGGCCCCTATTACTGTTCCCTCCAACTCAGCTCCCAGTCAATAACTGTTGATTCTTATAATTTTCTGATTTACAGTGTATATCAACGACGTAATATCCATCATGTCAATGAAAATAACACCAAGCCCTCTCATCTTACCTGGAAAAATTAGTGCATCTATATCCTTGTTGGTCAAAAGACGTCTTTTATCGACGACTAAACTCAAGCTTGACGTCGAGAAGAAAGTACTTGGGGCGGCATGGATATCTATTCCTTGTGTTTCTAATTATGGATCTTGGTAAGAAAATCTTTACTCTGGTTAGCTAGGAAGTTCGAATTAGTATAGGAATATTATTGTTACCATGTTACCATGCAACCTTGGAAAGCTTGTGTTCGAAACAATGTACTTGTTCCCTCTAAAGCAATAATGTTTCCAAACAAATATACAAACATAATTATTTTGTGCCTGGGGTCGGTTATACAAGGGCTATAGATAGTATTACTGATCCACCGGATAGTTAATTTTACAACCTTCAAATTTAATTTTGGTAAAATTACCTGAACTCATGCATGCGCTGTGATATGTGAAACTACAGAATGATGTGGACCCTACAAGAAGTAAAAGTATCCTCTAACAAACTTATAAAATAATTGATACTAAATTTTAATCTAAGTTATGTTGTACCAACCACAGTTAATGCATGTACTAACCAACTACCAATTTAACAAATCATAAGATGACCACTAGCTATCTGGTTACGGTGTGAGTTTCAATTGTTGAAACCATCAACAAACATGGTTAGGAAACAGTACTAATGTTCTGTAAACTTTCTACATTGAGAATAGGAAAGTGAATGAAATCCAATTCAAATTATAACCTTTCGTTTCTAATTATTACTATAGGCGAGGAACATAAACATTCGGAAACATAAATATTCGGATAAAAGCGACTGTATAGGCCGAAAGTCATTAATTTCGATCACCTTCCTTCTGATGTGAAAATGAAATCCTTTCCCTACCACTACAAATATTTATGCATCTTAAAAATGCATGCGCAATTGAATTTTTTCCGGCTGGTCACGATAAGTGCAGAGAATAAACTCTCCCTAATTCGTGGCAGCCTTCGTAGTTGGTGTTTATTTGGGGGTCGGGCCGGTAGAGACGAAAATTTATTTATCGCCGCAGCCAGCCAACACCCACAAATAAGTACCTGCTATACGCAGGCTGGTTTTCTGTATGCCCAGGAAGTTAGGAATATATGTTGCCTGTTAAAACAACGTAAATCTTGGGTTGCATATCACAAAGACGGAGGAAAACAGGATTTTCATTTTTGCTTCTTTATTTTTGTAGCACGTACGATAACTTCTGTGAGATTCTTCGAAGCATGATGTTTAGTAAATGCGACGAGGAGATGGAAAACAAAGGCATTCCCTGTGACTGTCCAATACCTACTGGATTGTTTAGCGTCCCTTCCCAAACCATCACCGTTACAAAGGAACAGATCAACCAATTGCCAAGTGCACTCAACTGGTTCGTAGAGGTAAGTAGTTATAAAGAAACGTACTAAACCACCCATCTGAAATAATCCGTGGTTTTTATTTTTGGTTTGAGTTGTTGTCTATTTTTACAGTTTATCGCCAAATTTTGGATTTGTACTTGTCGCTCGAAAGTACTTGCAGTGTTGAAAGTTTTCTGGAAATTTCCAGTGAAAAACTATATGCAGTTAAGCATATATGTAAGAACTGGTCGAAAGCGACTGCAAAAAATACAATACGATCTTATGAATTACTTATTCACTTCGATCCGCTACGGTCCAGAGGTTCACCTGCAGACTGATACAGAGTACTAACCACTGTGAATTACTGTGTGCTATACAGCTACAGCCAGAATGCAGTGGCATTTTAGGCAAATTGATCATGTAGTCTAGGAGCTGTATATGAGTTTGTATGCATTTCATTTAGGACAGATAATCTCAACTGTTTTAAGGCAAGTTGACCATAAGGGTCGACATGGTAACGCTGCCCGAACCCCAATCCGGGGCGAAACGTCCGAAACAAACCACACCCAAAAACGACGCTTTCGCCATACCGCTATATATCAAACCATAAAAGCTTTGGCTATTCTGAACTGAGTGCTTATATATATGGTTCAGAGATGGTACTTTTAGGGCTGGTCATTGGTAAGTGTGAAATGCCTAGCACTGATATTTCACAAGAAAATGAGCGTGCAATACTCATAGTCAAACGTCAATTTGTGACTTACAAATTCAGATAAACAGCAGTGGACCTACATTACCTTAATTTTTTCCTAAATTTTTTTTATAGAAACATAATTGGTACTAATTTATGTATATTATCACTGCTTTGGTGTTGATACTTTGTGACCGAAATAATAATTTGAAATCTATCTACCTCCTGCAAATGGACGTATTTGGCCAAATTCTCCACTTTACTCCACTGTTTATCGCCGATGCCGTTGAAATCCTTCCAAATATGTACGTCAGCTCAGATATAATGGTATCAAGCACATTTTAAATAAGTGTTAACTTGGATTTAAGTAGATCATAGCTGTTTAACCATCGACAAGGTAAAAATACAACTTTGTCCAAACTCGGCGCCATTTTGTCATCCCATGTCGGTTGTCAACAATTCGGCCTTGTTATTCTTCCGTCCAAGCCATTTCCATTCCACCAATAACAAATTTAACCCTTTACAAGGGTGGGAAACTAAAAAATGTAAACAAAATATAAGAAATGCAGCATTTTATCACCCTGTAAAATGTTGCTCACGAGTCTTTCAAAACATTCTTACATTCCGTACAAAGTAACAGGGCGTGACAGGGGGTGTGGAGACTTTGAAGTTTTAAGCAAAGCAAAGGCACGCTGTAATAGCAGCTGCAGTGTATGGTAAGACCAACAATCAACATTTAATTTATGGTATGACATATTCATATAATATGTATTTATTTGTCGCTACAAGAAATAAAACAAACGTTTGTATGATTGTATTTAGTTTTTAGTCTATTTCACGCCTTCTATCTCCGTGAAATAATTCATCCCCCTGTCATGCCCCTGTTACTTTGTCACGCGAGATTTGTACGGAATGTTTTGAAAGACTCGTGAGCAACATTTTACAGGGTGATAAAATGCTGCATTTCTTATATTTTGTTTAGATTTTTTAGTTTCCTACCCTTACAAAGGGTTAAATTTGTTATTAGTGCAGTGGAAATGGCTTGGATGGAAGAGTAACAAGGGCGAATTGTTGGCAACCGACATGAGATGACAAAATGGTACCGAATTTGGACAAAGTTGAGGTTTTACCTTGTCGATGGTTAAACAGCTATGATCTACTTGAATCCAAGTTAAAACTTACTTAAAATGTGCTTGACACCATTATGTTTGAGCTGCCGTACATATTTGGAAGGATTTCAACGAGATCGGCGATAAACAGCGGAGTAAAGTGGAGAATTTGGTCAAATACGTCCATTTGCAGGAGGTACGTAGGTAAATTTCAAATTATTATTTCGGTCACAAAGTGTCAACTATTTTACACCAAAGCAGTGATAATATACATAAGTACCAATTATGTTTCTATAAAAAAGATTTAGGAAAAAAGGTAATGTAGGTCCACTGCTGTTTATCTGAATTTGTAAGTCACAAATTGACGTTTGACTATGAGTATTGCATGGTCATTTTCTTGTGAAATATCAGTGCTAGGCATTTCACACTTACCAATGACCACCCCTAAAAGCACCATCTCTGAACCATATAAGCACCTCAGAATAGCCAAAGCTTTTATGGTTTGGTAGATAGCAGTATGGCGAAAGCGTCGTTTTGGGTGTGGTCAGTTTCGGACGTTTCGCCCCGGATTGGGGTTCGGGCAGCGTTACCATGTTGACCGTCA